TTTGCAAAAAGGAACCACTAGCATTGCAATGATGCTAAGATTGTGCAACTTCATCTTTTGCAATAAAATTGCGGAAATCGTGAAAAACTATGAAATTTAGATGGTAATTTTTGTCTTAAATTTACAGTTTTTAGCGAGTAAACTAGAAACTATGAATGGATAATCAGGTTTTTCCTCCAAGACAAAAGAAGTTGCACAATCTTAGCAACATTGCAATGCTAGTGGTTCCTTTTTGCAAAATGCAATCCATTTAACAATAGTTCTAAGTCATTTGAGAAGTAGTTTTCTCCTTATATCATAAGAGCATCTTTAAATATTACTTAACTGTTTCTTTTTTCATGCAATCGAATTTGAGTATATTACATCGGCTAATTCAAAACAATCTATCATCAACAATACCTTTTGACCTCTTTGAGATTAATAATGGTCAAATTAATTTTCATAACAAATTTTATTTTATGTTCTTCTTTTTTGTTGTTGTTGTTTTTTTTGTTTTTTTTTCCTATTATTATTATAAAGATCATTTAATGTTGCTGAACTATTAAAATTAGAATGATCGTCTCCAAAGTCTGAACTCGTGAGCGTTGACCTATATTTAGAATCAACGCTAAAGCGACCGTGTGCTTATTCTAGTAAAATTACAGTTTTTCTTACATGAAAGGCGTCGAAGATGTTTAAAACTTTCGTTCAATGGGAACTTTAGGAAGAATTGTGTCTACTCTTCTTCCAAAAAATTGATACGTCAGTGCATTCTATTTAATAAGTTTTCTTGCAGTATAGGGTGGATTTTAAAAGACGTAAAATTTTCCAACATTTTAAGTGTACGCTGAGAACGACTCTAAATCGCAAAAGTCTCCCAGTCATCAAGCTCAAGGGCCCTGATTCATGCATAGTCATTTTCATACCTAAAGTTTTTTATTGGAATGATGGTGTTAATACTAGGATCAATACAGAGTGCAATCTACCTTCACTAGCCATGTTCTAATTTATTTACAAGGAGCCGTGTAGTGTCATGAGGATGAAAGTTCCGACTCCGAGTCGAATTCGTAATTTATAAAAAGTATTTTTTCCCGGATATATTGAAAGCAACAATTTGACAGTATTGTGTGCTGGAAGTATAAAAGGGAACGTAATTTTCCCGCAGAAAATGCGTCCAAATTGATTTATAATTTCAAAAAACTTTCGGGAGAGGCCCCCCGGACCCCCTCTGAACTGGGTGGTATTCCATACCCACCGACCCCCCAGTGGTAGGGGGACCAGGCCCCCCAAGCAAAATGACCTAAGTACTAGTATGCTGAGACCAGTGGCGTGGCGTGAATGATCGATTATCGATATTTCTCCATTTGAAGCTTTAGTAAAGAATCGATTATCAAGGTGTTCGCTGCGGTTTTCCATAGATTAAATGGAAGATCAATCGATATATCGCAAAGCATGCCACGCCACTGGCTGAGACAGAGTCTCCCCAAGGACTCGTAGATGATATTGGCCCTGGATAATAACTCTGCAGACTGGGGTTTCACCCCTGTGACCGGACGAACAACCGGCTTTTCCTCGTTTACTTTTGAAAATTTCTGTATGTAGGTTTCAAACGGACTATAACTTATTAGCTGATTCATCCGAGTACTTACTGTTTTGCAGACCATTTTTTGCAATACCTGCAATTAGCCCTCTGCGCGGTCATTGTTACTCTTATTGTTCCTCTCGCAATTACTGATAATCCTTCTGCAGTCACTTTTATGGAAAAAAAGATGAGGAAGAATGGGAACCCCGGGGGAAAATGATGCGACTCAAACTGGGCAACGGAACAAAGTAAGGATCCTGATCAATTACCATCTTTCCCCAGGTTTTAATTTGTAAATCTTCACGATTTCTTGTCACAAGAGGTCCAACAAATCTATCATCGGTCTTATTTTGCAAATGAAAAAAGCTTATAAGTAAAATTTAAAATTTTAAAAAAATTTAAAAAAATTTAAAAACTTTTAAAACAAACTTAAAATCACTCACTTGCATACAATTTTCAATTTTTCGTCGCGCTAAGGACGGAGTTCGGGACACCTCCGAAACGCGTCCGCTTCAAAAATTAAAAATTTTATGCAAGTGAGTGGTTTTGAGTTTGTTTTAAAAGTTTTTACATTTTTGTAAATTTTTTTAAAAAAACTTAAAGTTTACATATTCAACGACTCGTGTAGTGATTTAAACTCCTGAAATATTCTTTCATCAACTCATAAAAAAAGCTTTCCTTTTCATCAATTTCTCTTCATTTTTATGGAAAACTTAACTGCACCATTGGTTTGCACTAGATTTAACGACGAAGACATCCTCAACAGAATAAACAAATGCGTGCTCTGTTAAGTGGCATTTACTTATGGACGAAAAAAACTACCATACTACGTATCTTATTTTTGATGTTTAAAGATCTCCGGTCCCATGTAATTTTTTTAAAGGAGAATAAATTAATATAATTCCTTGAGGTTTACACAGAATAATCTTCGCTTGGAGAAGACGGAAGTTTTCAGGAATTTATGTTGAGTGTCTTTTCACTTAAAGAATACAGTATGACATGAAGTCTGTAACGTCGCAAGCCAATACACGTGGTTTGGTAGTTTCACCGTCGATATAGCCGTGCACGTGGCAAATGGACTGGACTTGTGAATATACACTGTATACACGGATAAAAAAGTGTCAGGGGTTATCCCCTAAAGTTGTGGTACCTACTACCCAAATTTGTTGGATGATATGATATGATATGGACATTTCTAATTAATTTTATTAGTACCGCAACTCAAATTAGGGTAGTGCCGCAACATTTGGGTTAGTTACCTAATTTATTGGGGTACCACCATAATTAATTGGGGTGCTACCATAATTAACCGGGGTACTACCACAATTAAATGGAGATGTCCATATCATCCAACAACCTCGTGCTTTTTTTTCCGTGTAAGCTATTGTCAATAGACTTTCCATAGATAAGAAGGTATGTAAGATGGTAAAATGAGGCTCCCATCACTGAAAAAAAGTATGACAATCCCAGCTATGCTCCTAGCTGTTTTTGGCGCCAGATATAAGAGCAGTTGTACCAGCGAGAGGTACGGTTGAGTCCGTCGAAAGTGTGGTTGAATCAACCATACCTCTGGCCAATGCAACCTCTGATATATCGACGGTGAAACTACCAAACCACGTATCTCGGTTTGCGACGTCGCAGACTTCCTGTCATACTTTATTTTTTAAATGAAAAACTACTTAACATCCAGTCTTGAAAATTTCTGTGATTTTCCCTCTTTGTGCGGAGAAAATTCCGTGAAAATTTCAAGGAATGATATTGATTTGGTCTCCTTCAAAAAAATAAAATGTGAGCGTAGATTTTTAAACACCGCAAACGAGATACGTGGTTTGGTAGTTTCACCGTCGATATATGGCGTCAAAATCAATCAGGAGTATGGTTGGGATTACGTGGTACTTTTTAGTGATGTAATAAGGTGGAATATTCATTTTTTGGCGGAGGCTCAATCGGTTCATATTGAGCATTGAAGGGAACTCCTAAGCGTGAATGACAAAAGCAAAAGAAAAGTACCGACAAAGAGAAGAGAATGTCAGGTGGTTCCTTTTCGGTCAGTACTAGGGAGGGCAGGCGTTCAGCTTTTCGTACTTTTAAGTCATCACCAAATGAGATCATCAATTACTCGGTTATAGGTTCATTGCAAAACGATTTCGTGCTTTCGCTATTCGCCGGCTCACAGGCCGGAACAGGTAGCCAGCGAGGGGATGACATGTGCTTTTTCAAAGACGGCCACCTGGAAGTAACCTCAACCAGATCTGCCTTCAGGAGATAGGAATTTTCCTAATTACACGCGCAAATGTATTGGTGATCATTTTTGCAATCATTTGTATCCAAAATCAGGGGAGCCATTTCAGGTTATTGCAGGGCCGGGCAAAAAAGTGACACGCTTTTTTCCTGCTCAGCTTTTCACCCTGGAAACGGCAAGTAGAGCAAACTAGAGTATCTACACTAAGAGTATGCGAAACTCCGGAAATCCATTAGGCTCCCACTAATTCCTCCGTGAATAAAGTTAGGACCCAAAAGGCAGCCAACCTATGAATTCATGATATCTAAAATGATTCATTATTGTAATTGTTACGAGGCGTCGTTTGTAAAGTACGTATATACTACTTATTTTTTCATGAATTTACTCATTTTTGCGGAAGAATGCTCATTTAAGAACATCCTCGAAGTTTGCCTGTCCTTTTGGGCCTTCAAAGCTCCATGAGGCAAGCTACCCATACTCTTGCGATGCGTTTACTCCTAGTTTTATCAGGCCCGACTCAAAAGCGCAGGGCCGGGCGAATGCCTGGCATGCCCCTCCCTTCCCACCCCCTCAAATGGTACCCCTGTCCAAAATGCCAATTTTAATCCCTCTTCTAATCCCAAATGTGTGTCAAATTTAAAAAAAAGTATGGTAAATTATGGTAAAATTTAAAAACCGTATAAAATATAGCTTCCAACTTCCTCTTTTCTTTATATGAAACTTATCCTCGATTTTTCAAACTAATGAAGTGCTGCCTCTGATACCTAGAACGGAAGAAAATCCTTCTCGACAAAAGAAGAAAAACAAATTACAGAGTTAGCGGCTACCACGTGTTGGCATTTCCATGCCTACAACAGCACGAAAACATTGATGCCTGTCTGTTGGTCTCATAATATTAATATGACAACATTCGACAAAACAAATTTTCCGATCCCTGTCAGTATTTGTTCGTTACTCGCTGCGAGTCAATTCACTTTGCGAACGAATAATACGGCAAAGTTGAAATGCTGGTCGTGGAGGCCGGTGAAGAGCGCGACGAGGAGAATCTGGTACTGGGTCAGAACTTGAACTGACAGTGGCGTTCGGGTGGTTGCAGCCACGGCCGGCGCTGTGCTGACCCAGGCGTCCCCTCCACGCTGCAGCGCGGCGCGGCGGATGGCTCACCTCTGAGCGCGCCCCACCGCCCCACCGCTCCGCTCCAACGCCGCAGCTGCCCCTTCTAAATGTGTATACACAGCCGAGAAATCTCAACTCCGACTTACCTGCCTTACTCATATCATAGCCTGGACGCAAATGAATATTTGGTTACAGCCACTCAAACGAGGCGTATCAATCGAACAATATCGCTCCTCCACACCTGGGACCCAGAGCTTTACAACCGACTTTGCTTCCAGCCGAGATAGTCTCCGCTCCTTCGGCCGTCCGAACTCTTCCAGCTCCGCAGTTCCAATCGCGAAGTGCAGTGAAAATTCTTCCAACATGAAAAGACGCCAAAACACCACGCATAGTGCCAAGAAGAAAGCTTTCAGCCTCTCGCCTGCTTTCAGCTGAGAATCCTGCCGTCAGCTCGTTCGATCCTTCAAACAATATGATAATATAGTCGTGTAAAGATCCGTGCTTAAAGATTGGCTCACCTTTTTTCGGCCGGGTGAGAGAGGATTTCAAACCCGTCTTTTGTCTCTCACCAAAGTTTACGCTGGTGAAGTGGACTTGTTTGGTGATCGGTAGATTCAGTGCAGTGATCGGGTTTCGGATTCTCGGGCGTGATAACGATTCCGGCGTCTCTTGTGCGTTTTTCTTTGTTGAATATTAAATTCCAGTGTTTAATCCTCTTACTGTGTTATACCAAACCGTTCAAAATGAATCACACGGAGTCGTGTTGGAATCCCAACTCCACGTGAGTACATTTTTAAAGTTAATTTTTTTTTAGTTTTTATGGGGTTGGTATGAATTACACGAACAGGCAAACGACAAAGACTTGACGCACGATGACGCGACAAAATATGATAATTCCTAAAATACTTTTTATCAGACTAGACAAAATATTGAGTTTCAAAAGTTTTTCAGTGTCTATATTGAAAAATACCATTGACTGACTGAAAATTTATCACGGATTGGGGTTAAGTTTTTCTGTAGAAAATTGAAACATACACAGCATGAAGTGAAGGAGGAAGCAAAAGCATTTTTCCGATTTTTTTCTTTCGTCTTTTTTACACACATTTTTTTTTATTTATACTGAGATTTTTCCCCCTATATTCATGAAAAAAGATACCACAAATTATTTGATTTACTGCGTAATTTTTCGATTAAATTATATTGTAGTCAAATGCAGGTGTTATTTTTTATTTTTTTATTTTTATTTTTTTTTATTTCAAGTATTACTACTTCCAACGGACATTTTTTAAATCAACAAATGAAGTCTTACTTAAGATGGGTCTGTTTTGTCAGAGGAAATAAATTTTGAGACCATCGATCATGAAACTGAACGAAGCGGAAGGATTTTTCATGAAATTTATTTAGCAATGCAAACAGGCAGAGACTTATCTTTAAAAAACTTGAAAATATGACCTTTTCATTTTACAATAGACAGGAGCACGTCTAAACGTTTTAAACGGGGATCTATGACCGTAAATTGTTTGCTGCAAGGGTGAATTCTAGTAAGTATAGAAATGGAAATGAAGACTTAACACTTGATGAGGATATATTTATGGTAGACATTTTTGTAATGGAGAGTGTAATGGAATAAACCATAGATACATTATTAATGAACATACTGATAGAAAGGCTACACGATTAGATGGGTTGAATAGTAATTAACGTGAGGAGAGGTAGGTTAAATTTCTTGAACGGAATATACATTTGATGCGGTTTCATCCTCAAGTCTCCGCAGTACATCCTCTTTCTTATGATAAAAAAAGGAAAGGAAACAGGAATAAAATCGAGTCTGTAATGTAACATCATCGAGAGAGGAAAGAGTGAGCGTTGAAGGAAAAGTTACACGAATTATCTAACTGTTGCAATAGGCGTGATAGTTTCGTTAAAACACTTTTCGTTTCACCGAGATGAGTAATTTATTACCGCTAAACAGGTTTTTAATAAACCGCTGACTCGGGCATAACGCTAGTTAAAATCGTTCGTCGCAGCACTCCTGACAATTAATCGCCGCGAGGTGTTTTATTTATTTTCCTCGCAGACACCAAACTGGGTCATCTTTATCCTACGCGGATCGACTGAAGTTCAATATTTTGCGAAACCGGTATCCTTAATTTTGCGGCACAGCCTTGCATCCATCATTAGTCGTCTGCGTGCTTGCCAGACTTGATATAAAAAAGGATAATTCCATTTTAGACAAACCGTCGTTTCCTGAACGAGCGAATCTAACTCCATTCGAAGGTTAAAAAATTGACTCAAACAATTTAATTCTTTACAAGCATGTACCTGCGCAATTTTTATGGAAAATGTATCTGTTTTTTGTACGAGATAAGAAGAAAAATCAAAGAAATTACCAATCGGAAATTCCCAAAATTCTCCCGGTTGAAGTGCCATTTACGCGAGGAAATTTGGCAATATTGAAATGGAGTTACGTTCTTTCGTGAGAAAAACGACGAAGTTGGAGGTGCTTAAACTATATTAATGTCGAAAGTCAAGAAAATGCATTCTTGATCGTTACATTTCAAACTTTCCAAAATTGAATTTCAGTTTCTTCGTTTTTTTTGAAGAAAAACGAAAAAATAACGCTGTTACTCAAGAGTTTTCAGGAATATTTTCCATTGGAAGAGGAGCCCTACGTAAAAATTCCTGAAAATAATTTTCATTACATGTATAGAAAGAATGTTATAGGTTGCCTGATTTCTCGTTCCATATGATCCCCGGGAAATATAGTAGCTGGTGGTGAATTCTTAACAATGCTGATCACGTGGTTGGGAAACGTAACCTAGTGCACGATAAGCACTAACGGAAAGCTTGTGGTTATTACATATCCTGGGGTTCATTTATAATCAGAAATCTAGTAATCACCAACATTTTTTTCCGTGCGTCAATCTATAGAGTTGACAGCAAATTTTGAGGCCTGCACAACTGCACAATTGAAAAACAGAATTTTGTCCCGCAGGTAAAAAGCTGAAGTAGGACTCAATAATTCCGCTCCTTAGGGATTTTGACTCTCGACTTCGATTTAATTTGAAGGTTTTCATGCGATGCCTCGGATATTCAATGAACAAGGGCATTGCCGTAACCATATGAGGAGGGGGAAAATAGTACATACTGTGTCCAAAAAGAAAGAAAAAACCCCGGAAAAACATTCCCTTTAAAGGTATATTACCTTTATTACAATTCCCAAGTATAATACTGCCGTGCTATGGAAGAAAGCCGTATGAACCTTCAGGGGTGGCCAAATATCCTTTGATAAAACACAAATTTCCTGGTTAATATATGAATATTTTTCTTCCAATTTTTTTTCATATGATTTTGTTCTCGATTTCACCTAAAGTTCCTGAAAATTTGAAAGAGAAATATTCACAACTCGCCTCAAAAATAAACATGTTATCGAAGGAAATTCGGCAACTCTCGAATGTTCATACGACGTTCTTCCTTAGCACGGCAGAATAGGCTTGAAGATCAGTGGTCTCTTGAAGTGCAAGATTCGCAAAAGAGCGATCATGATTGACCCGTCATGACTGTAAGGCATCGAGACGGTTCCAACGACGGCCGCGGGCGGTCTTCAACGTCCTTGACCCACCAATCTTATTACATAATCAAATACCTCAATTTCTTCGAGCGCCGCGGCGGACGCATGCTTTTATTTTCGAGCGGCTCATGGAAGACCGGCAGTGAAAGGATTAGTAAAGCTCCGATGAGATAATTGCCTTAATGTTTGAGCCGAGTGAATAACTTGTAGGTTAAACAAGCATCAAGGCACGGACACAGCTAACTGGATCAATAGCGAGACATGTTGATCAGCGGGTATAGGATCATTAGCAATTACGGATAAGTGGTAGTGCGTGCACAATGTTGCGGAGATCTCAGCAGAGCTGCCAGTCGCAGAAAATAATTTTCAATGGACCACTAGACAAGGCACGAATTAAAACGTTCTGATTTATGTTCCTCATCAAGTGTTACATACAACACGCCTTGCGCATCAAAAATCTCCGAAATTCATTTCGAACTATGGTATTAATGTCTTTATTTAGCATTGGTTATGAAAAATTTGAATTTCCCGCTCCCAAGGAAAAGAATAGTCTCATTGAGAAAATTGCGCGCTACGACGATTTGGCAGGTTTCTCAATGAACAGTGCTCCTTTCCCAATCTATATCATTCAAAGCGAGAGTAACGTGCAACAGCTGAGCCGTAGCATCAATCCAGAGGTTGGCGTATTCTCACAATGCAAAAACTGTCACCGCGATAACGTTCAGTGTGCCACTTAACTCAATAAGATGATTATTTTCCCTATGAGCAAGAAGTTTGAATTGATACATTGGAGCACGTTACTGTCTTCATTAGGAGATAATTTCAGTAATTTCGGTATACAGATCGTGTTCTCCGTGAAATTTTGATGAGATACCATTTATCGGAATGCTTAAATTCGTGCCTTGTCTGGTGGTACATTCATTCCAGAGATCCACTAGCTGATTTTTGTATAACGTTGCAGTCATCACCATTTCCTTTACATTTTAAAATGTGATGCAGAAAGCGTCTTTTGAAAGCTACTCCGCGCAGGTTCGATATAACATACCTTTTGGTAATATTTATAACACAAAAACACTCAATTAGAATCAGCCACAAAGAATTTTTGATTAATGACAATTCTTGACACTTTTCTACCCTTGCGTTCAAGTCTCCAATGGTGTTTTGGGCTGTTTTTTATTTTTCGCTTCTGATTTTCTTTTTACCAAACATATCAAGTATTTTAAAAGAATCTCATCATAATGGCTGATGAGATAAAGGAGAGAGGGAATACGATGTTATCATATATCATGTCACCGAAAACGTTGTCCTTAACAATGATGTAAACCTACTTGTTTCATTCCAAAACAAAATTCACGGAAGAATTATCATTTTTATTTTATTTTATTTTTTATTTTTGAACAAAATTGCTACTCTTGTATGTACATGTTTCTTTATTAGTATGAATCTGAAACAGATCTCCCTTTTTGAGGTAGTTCATTTCTTTAAACTTCATGTATTTCGTGACAAAATACTAAGGAATGATAGTAAACGTTATTTCGTCGCTCACCTGTCATAGAGACGTAACCTTACTTCACGATGGACTCTGTAGTCCATACAACTCAATGCATTCCTTGGCTCATCTCGAGCTGTAGTTACGCCTTTTTGTTAGCCAAGCGACTATTTAATCAATAGACACCCGTTCAGCCCTTTCAGTTAATCATTTGCTTAGGTATCGGTAACGCTTAAAACGCTGTTCATACGTTGCTGGCTTTGAAGAAATTATACGAAAATGCAAATTTCGCTAAAATTGAGGATATCGAGCAAAAGTTGGCACGGGTATCAAAGCACGACGGCAGATTTGTAGCTGGGCCTGGTGAGGCAGTTGGGTCAGAGGCAGAAGAGTGAGGCAACTGGCACGTTTCTCCCTATCTCTCTCTCTTACTGTAGTGTTCACTGGCCAGTAATTACGAATCGTTGGCTAATTCATCAAACAGACACAGCTGACAACACACATCACGCTCATGCACCGAGCATATTTTTTTCGCTCCTTCTCCGCTTTAATTACAGCATGGGCACGCCGTGCTAAAATCTTACTTTCGGTATCACTTTTCGGTAGGTCAGATTCCTCAAAAAAACGTGAGCCTCATTTCACCGGGCAATAAAATCGTGGACGTAGTGTGTCAGGAGTTAAATCTAGGCTGAAAAGCTGTGCAACAAAATTTAGATACCAC